CTCTCTCTCTCTCTCTCTCTCTCTCTCTCTCTCTCTCTCGCTCTCTCTCTCTCTCTCGCTCTTTCTCTCTCTCTTTCGCTCGCTCGCCTCATTCCCGCGACAATTTGGATCCACAACAGAGAAGAATGGGCTCGTGCTTCCTACGTAAATCCGATCCGGCCTTTCACTGACCTTTCAATCCATCGAGGAAGTACCTCGAGGTCGGTGTTTCTAGAGTATATACATATACATATATATATATATATATATATATACATATGTATGTGTATATATATATATACACATACACATACGTATACGCGATTCGAGGGGAGAGCGCGGCCGCTTTTCCCCCGTGACACGTTTCGAGGGGAAAGTCGCCTTTATATACCCTCGGGTTTCGCGAGGAACGAGGAACGCGATGAAGCCGTGGGACACGCGTCTCTCGTCGCCGGAGGCGGCGATCTCACGGAGGGCGGAGGTGGAGGGGCGAGGAGGTGTTGGAGGAAGAGGAGGAGGTAGGGTGAGGTCAGTGTCCCTTGTGCAGACTTTCACGAGTTACGAAACCGGCGGAGAACTGCCCGTCCTTGGCACCGGTTGTCGCTGATTTTCTATTGTCCCTACTCTCCTACCGGACTCCTCGCAGTCGTCATCGTATTAGCTGTCGTCGTGTTTCTCTCCTTCTTCGAGCCGATTTTCGAACGAGAATACATTTTCCTCTATTCGTATTCGTATTTTCGATTAAAATTAATCGATCCACGTATATATATATATTTTTTCTTCTACGAAAATCGAGAGATTATTAATATTAGAATTATCGAAATTTTATTCGATTCTTCTTCTCGGATTACCTCTTTTAAAGGAGGGCTTTTCAAAAGGAGGAAAAACGTATTATTCTCAAATAATACGTTCATAACGTTGCGTTTTCTTTTTCTTTTTTTTTTTTTTTTTTTTTTTTGAGAAATTTTCGAGCGCTACGTTCCCGTGCACCGTGAATCGAACGATTCGGGCGGAGATGGAAAGTGACCTCCTTAATGCCGCTACCTCCATCCACGGGCCAATATTTATCCGGGCCGGGGAGAGTCATCGATTTCACTTTTGGCAATGGCCTCTACCCAAGCTCTGACCGTTCCCGGTAATTCTTCTCGTTGTTTGCATACCTCACGTGCTCCGTGAACGTAACGCGCACCGCCGTTATTTCGATATTCTCGATCATTGGTCGCGCATCGATCATCGTCCATCGTCCCCGAACTCTTTCTCCTTACAAAAAGAAACAATCTTGTTTTCTTCTTGCCGAGCCGTGTTTCTTTAAACGATGTTAATAAAAGTGGATATTATCGTTTGATTAGATTAAATTTTTATTAACCCATACGTAAATAATTCAATTTTTTTTTTTATTGTAAGAAAATAATAATTGAAATATCGAAATTCGTTTGGACAAATTTTGCTATAATTTATAGCAGCGAAAATTTAATGGTTGATGTTTACGAGTAAAATTATTCTTCGATAATTTATCGCTCAAAATAATAATAATTGGAAATAATTTTAATGCCAAACGGCATTATATGAATTATAGCCACGAATAAATGTTACTTGAGCATTTTAATTACTCCAAGTATCATTATTCGACTCCCCGTTGAAAAAGTTGAGTTAAAAATCTCGAATAACTCTGATTTATTACGGTAATTGACGACGGAAAAATAATGGTTTCGATCTACAACAAATATATTCACGACGAGAAGCTTCTTCGGTAGAATCGAAGAAATCGATACATCATAAATACAACATTTATCGTAGCTAAAAAAAAAGGAAGAATCAGTAAATGTTTTTCAAAAACATTTACATTTCGAAATTTTATTATATCCTTTAACGCGTTCTCGAGCGACGAACTAGATCAGTGAATATCGCCAGTTATCGTTGTCCGTCCATAATCGATTGACGAGGAGAATAAGAAAAGGAGAGAAAAAGAAATATCGCGATTCGTGAGAGAAAATCATGGAAATCGGCATCATTGTCGAAACGGATAGGACTCTAATAAGGAAACGCTTTCACGATGTAAAAAAGATAATGCTTCGTTTGGACGAGTACGAAAAGGCATGCGAGACGACCACCACCATTCGCTCCTTCTATCTATCGGCTTTCGTAATGTGGGAAACCTTGAGACTTGCGCAAGCGTACTCGTAAGAAAGTGAAATTGCAACGTGGAGTTCATTCATATTTCGAGATTGTTCCGATCGAAAATTTTTCCCTCCAATTCGATCATTTCCCCCTCCCTTTTATTTTTAATTTAATTCTTTCTTTTTTTTTTTAAAGGAAAGAAAATTCTCTCTCTCTAAAATTCCACCAGATATTTCACTACACGGTATACGGAAAAGCTGACTCGTTCTTTACATCATTGCGTGCCAGTTTCTCACATTAGACGATCGATCGAGTTTAAAGCTAAACTTCCCTCCTAACCTCCTCCTATGAGAACGCAAATGCTACGGTTTTGCAATCGCGTTGATATAATCATTTTAATGAATAATATAACAAAATAATTATTTTATAATTTTATAATTATAATTATATTAATGTTTTATAATTATTTTAATGAATAATATAACAAAATTTACAAATAAATTTCTATAAATATAAATTTAAATAAATAATTTAATTTTAATAATAATTTAAAAAAAAAATTATAAACTAAAAATAAATTTATAATATAATAATTTAATCTCAAACCAAAAAAAAAATTATAAATTTAAAAATAAACTTATAAATATATAATAAAATTTAAACTAAAAAATTATAAGTTAAAATTAAATTTATAAAATATATCCAACTCAAACCAAAAAAAATTTATAAATTTAAAAATAAACTTATAAACATATAATATTCCTGTATGATTATAAATTTCCTGTATGATTTCAACTTTTACGCACACGAAGAAGAAGAAGAAGAAAATTTTCTTTTCCCCTATTATCGATCATCGATTAAACTCGCTCGAAAAGAAAAATCGAATCAAACAAGGACGAGAGACGAGTGTGCTATCGAAAAGAAAGAAAGATCGCGATCGCGTGCAGCTGGTGATTCGAAAGTGAAAGTGAAGAATATACCTTCGGGATATACCGTTCTCATCACCGCCACCGGTGCATTCTCCCGGCAAAAAGGATCAACTTTTGTCGACCCGCCGCTCGATTTCTAACGAGCCGCCTCGAATAAATCACTGGAAATCGGTTGTTCGCTACGATTGCACCGGTTGCGACGTTGATCTATACGCGAGCTCGCCTGTATGCGTGTGTGTGTGAGCGTCGACAGGGGAGGGGGGGAGAGAAAAAACGCGGTTCACACGTATAACGCGTATAATGGTGGTCGGCTCGTTAGATAATCTTGGCCCGAGATGGGGATCCCGATAGAGAAATATGGAGCCTCTCTCGCAAAGCGTATATCGCTTGCGCGCTTTCGTGAGTTATCGCGCGGATGCATCGCGTGAAATCGAGCCAACTCGGTGTTGCGTCAAACTTGGTTGCTCGCAAACTTGGAAAGAAACACACGTAGGAAAAACGTCGTTAATCGCGCGTATCTCTTTCCACGTTTCTTCATTTAGAGATCTATTTCTTTTTTCTTTCGAACATCGAGAAATACACTGTCTTATCTTATCTTATCTTATCTTATCTTATCTTATCTTATCTTATCTTATCTCTGGTTGATTCGAGAGGACTTGGAAAGAAACACACGTAGGAAAAACGTGCGTTTAATCGCGCGTTTGTCTCTTTTCACGTTTCTTCATTTAGAGAATATTTTTTTTTTTTTTGTTCGTTTTTCGAACATCGAGAAATGCACACACAAATGCATATTATCTCCGATTCGAAACGAAATACTGTTGTGGATCACGGAGGCGATTTTTGAAAAATTGGGGGAGGACGAATGAAAATGAGAAATGCAAACGATGATGATACTCACTTCGGAGGGGTTGGTGAGCGCCGTCTTGAGGATCGTCCCGTTGACCAGGTGGCCGGAATGCGCGGGGTGGCTCGAGTGACTGGTGGTAGATTGGGAGTTGAGGGGGTCGGCGGACGAGATCTTGTGATGATGAAGGAAACCGCCAGCCAGCTGGACGTGCTGCTGTTGGCTATGGTGAGCGACCGCGGCCACGGCCATGTGCTTGTCGAGCATCGTCGAGCCCATGGCGCTTTTGCTACCACCAAGGGACCCCGACCCGTTAACACCGCCAACGTTACCCCCGCTACTTATGCCACCCATGCCTCCGCCCACTCCGCTCGTTTTGTTACTTTTCTTGTGCTTTTTGTACTTCACCTTACGCATGAAACGGACGGAAATGGGGTAAGATTAATCTAAGGATTTAAGTACGCTCGGATACGTTATTTTTCAACATCCTCTATTATTTATATATATATATATGTAAATAAAATTCTTAAAAGGAATTAGGATCGATTCGACGTTTCGTATTTATTTTTTCTTAATTTAACTACGTTTAATTACGCTCGAATTCTCTATTGTTATTTTTATATATATATATATTTAAATAAAATTGATAAAGAATTAAGATCGATCCAACATTTCGAGCTCGTATCTTTTCTTAATTTAANAACCACGTTTAATTACGCTCGAATACTTTATTTTTCAACTATTATTATTTACGAAAAGTTTATATATATATATATAAATAAAATTGATAAAGAATTAAGATCGATCCAATGTTTTGTATCTTTTCTTAATTTAACATTTAATTACGCTCGAACACTTTATTTTTCAACTATTATTATTTACGAAAAGTTTATATATATATATATATAAATAAAATTGATAAAGAATTAAGATCGATCCAATGTTTTGTATCTTTTCTTAATTTAACCACATTTAATTACGCTCGAATACGTTATATTTTCAATATTCTCTGTTGTTATTTATATATATATAAATATATAAATAAATAAAATTGATAAAAAATTAAGAAGTTTCGAGCTCGAATCTTTTCTTAATTTAACCATTTTTCTTAATTTAACGTTTAATTACGCTCGAACACGTTATTTTTCAACTATTATTATTTACGAAAAATTTATATATATGTAAATAAAATTGATAAAGAACTAGGAATGTTCCAATATTTTGAGCTCGTATCTTTTCTTATTTTAACGTTTAATTACGCTCGAACATGTTATTTTTCAACTATTATTATTTACGAAAAGTTCAAATATATATATAAATAAAATTGATAAAAAATTAAGATCGATTTGGAGCTCGAATCTTTTCTCGATAACATGGGCGTACGGTAAATGCGGATACCAACCTTGTAAAGGTTATACACAGCACCAGAATTTCTTCCCCCGGGCATCCGATCTTCTCGAACCGCCTGAAGGACCATACCCTGTTCAATGCACTTTTTGAAACGACAGTACTGACACCTGTTCCTCTGGGCCTTTGTGATTTCGCAACCACCTTCCGCCACGCATGTGTACACTCGCCTATTTTGTACAGTTCTTTTGAAGAAGCCTTTACACCTGCGCATACATAATTTCACACGCTGTTTCACCACTATTTCAACCGCTCGGCGAGAAACATCCCGCTTCGCTCGAATCATCCTTGTTCGCCGCCACACGAAAAGTTTCGCTGCTCCTCGGAATGAAAAATTTTTCTCTCTTTCTTTCGACAGGATCACGATTTTATCAAGGATTTTCTTTTTTTTTTTTTTTTCTTCTTCTTTTTTCTTTGTCCAACGAGAGAATCAAAGTTCATCTCTCGAGGGAAGAAAGTAGCGTAGTATCTCGATACTGGAAACTACCGATTAAAGATTCATAGGCGGAGAATTAGCGGGTACGCAAAGGGAAAACTCGTCGAGTTTTTCCAACTAATTTCTCGGATCGGTCGAATAGACATTGAACAAACTAGCGTGAAACCGAGTAACGACACCCTGCAGTAATCTTACGGGGCAATCAGCCACGCTTCGAGACGCGAGCATTTTTCCCTCCACCTTGGAAAAAAACTTGGAAAAAAAAAAAAAAAGAAAAAAGGAAAAAAGGAAACGTTTTAAATTTATCCGAAATTATTTCTTCTCCCCTTCGATGGTTGAAATTGAAGATAGAAAAGATGTTTCTATTTACAAAGGGAAAAGGAGAAAGGGGAGAGGCGACGAAGAGCTCGAAGGCATAGAATAGCGTGTGGAGAAGGATATCTCTGCCTGTATTCATAGTTCAACCGTGACGCGGTAACCTCGAAGACACCTCGGGCCGCATATATTTCCGTCCGTACGTCAGAACGCGGGCGCAAAGTCGGGAGAGAGCGGGCAAAGGTGAGAGTTCGCTCGGAAGCCGCAATCCCCGACTCGTCGCCGATCGATCGATCGATCGTCGCGGCTTTTCTTCGCGAGCAGTGGAACGAAGGAAGGAAGAGATTTCGAATTTATAAATTTGGAACGATGGAAGGAAGAAATCTCGAATTTATGAATTTGGAACGAAGGAAAGGAAGAGATTTCGAATTTATAAATTTGGAACGATGGAAGGAAGAGATCTCGAATTTATGAATTTGGAACGAAGGAAAGAAAAAAATCTTGAATTTAAAACGAAGGAAAGGAAGAGATTTCGAGAGTTTCCGAATTCGGAAGAAAAAAAGAAGAGATCTCGAGTTTTTTAATTCGAAACGATGGAATGAAGAAAAGAAGAGATCTCGAGTTTCCGAATTCGAAAGAAAAAAAGAAGAGATCTCGAGTTTTTTAATTCGAAACGATGGAACGAAGAAAAGAAGAGATCTCCGAATTCGGAAGAAAGAAAGGAAGGAAGGAAGGAAGAGATTTCGAATTTATGAACTTGGAAGAAAGGAAGGAAGAGATTTCGAATTTATAAATTTGGAACAATGGAAGGAAGAGATCTTGAATTTCTGAATTCGAAATGAAAGAAGGAAGGAAGGAAGAGATTTTGAATTTACAAACTCGGAACGAAGGAAAGAAGAAAGAAAGAGATCTCGAATTTACGAATTTGGAAAGAAGAAATCTTGAATTTTCTAATTCAGAACGATGGAAAGAAGAGATCTCGAATTTGGAACGAAGGAAAGAAGAAAGAAAGAGATCTCGAATTTATGAATTTGGAAAGAAGAAATCTGGAATTTTCGAATTCAGAATTCAGATGGAAGGAAGAGATCTCGAATTTGGAACGAAGGAAGAAAGAGATCTCAAATTTTTTAATTCGAAATGAAGGAAGGAAGGAAAGAAGAGATTTCGAATTTACGAATTCGAAACGAAGAAAAGAAGAGATCTCAAATTTCCGAATTGAAGGAATTTTCGAAATGAAGGAAGGAAGAAAGGAAGAAAGAAAGAAAGGAAGAGATCTCAAGTTTTTTAATTCGGAACAATGAAACGAAGGAAAGAAGAGATTTCTAATTGACGAACTTGGAACGATAGAAGGAAGAAAGAAAGAGATCTCGAATTTACAAATTTGGAATGACGGAAGGAAGAAAGAAAGAGATCTCGAATTTATGAATTTGGAACGATGGAATAAAGAAATCTCAAATTTACAAATTTGGAAGGAAGAAAGAAAGAGATCTCGAATTTATGAATTCGGAACGATGGGAGGAAGAAAGGAAGAAATCTCAAATTTATAAGTTTGGAATGAAAAAAGGAAGAAAGGAAGGAAGGAAGAGATCTCGAGGTTTTTAATTCGGAACAATGACACAAAGAAAAGAAAAGATTTCTAATTTATGAATTCGGAATGATGGAAAGAAGAAAGGAAGAGATATCAAATTTATGAATTCAGAACGATGGAAGGAAGAAATTTCAAATTTATAAATTTGGAAGGAAGAAAGAAAGAGATCTCGAATTTACAAATTTGGAATAAAGGAAAGAAGAAAAAAAGAGATCTCGAATTTATGAATTTGGAAAGAAGAAATCTTAAACTTCTGAATTCAGAACGATGGAAGGAAGAAATCTCGAATTTACAAATTTGGAACGAAGGAAAGAAGAAAGAAAGAGATCTCAAATTTATGAATTTGGAAAGAAGAAATTTTAAATTTCCGAATTCAGAACGATGGAAGGAAGAAAGGAAGAGATTTCGAATTTTCGACTTCGGAACGAAGAAAGGAAGAGATCTCGAATTTATAAATTTGGAACTATGGAAGGAAGAGATTTTGAATTTCTGATTTCGAAATGAAAGAAGGAAGAAAGGAAGAAATCTCGCATTTACAAACTCGGAACGAAAATAGGAAGAAAGGAAGAGATCTCGAATTTCCATATTTGAAACGAAGGAAAGAAGAAAGGAAGAAAGAAAGAAAAGAAGAGATCTCAAGTTTTTTAATTCGGAACGATGGAACGAAGAAAAGAAGAGATTTCTAATTTACCAATTTCTTCGAAACGAAGAAAAGAAGAGATCTCAAATTTCCGAATTGAAGAAATTTTCGAAATGAAGGTAGGAAGAAAGGAAGAAATCTCGAATTTACAAATTTGGAATGAAAAAAGGAAGAAAGGAAGGAAGGAAGAGATCTCGAGGTTTTTAATTCGGAACAATGACACGAAGAAAAGAAGAGATTTCTAATTTATGAATTCGGAACGATGGAAAGAAGAAAAGAAGAGATCTCAAATTTATGAATTCGGAACGATGGAAGGAAGAAATCTCGAATTTCCAAATTTGAAACGAAGGAAAGAAGAAAGGAAGAAATAAAGAAAAGATCTCAAGTTTTTTAATTCGAAACGATGGAACGAAGGAAAGAAGAGATCTCTAATTTACGAATTTCTTCGAAACGAAGAAAAGAAGAGATCTCAAATTTCCGAATTGAAGGAATTTTCGAAATGAAGGTAGGAAGAAAGGAAGAGGCCTCGAGTTTCCGAACTCGAACCACCTCGTACAGCTCACTCACCCCTCGCACGTGATGATCCCGTAATGGAGTCCGGTGGCTTTGTCCTCGCAGATCATGCATATCATAGGCGTCTCGTCCTCCTCGTGCTCCTGCGCCGGCATCGGCGGCGCTGGCGGCGCGGCCGACATCGGCTGCGACGCCGCCGCCGCCTCGGACTTCACCACCCCCCCGTTCCTCTCCCACGCCTGCCCGGATCCCGACGCGGTCAGGTTGAGCGCCTGCATCTGCTGCGCGGCCGGCAACTGCGTCATGTCCCCGGCCCACAGCCTCTCCATGTTGAGCGGGGGCCCGGACGCGTACGGCGCCGCCGACCCCCCTTTCCCCCTCGACTCCTGCCCGAGGTTGAGCAACAGCTGCGCGGCCGACTCCTCCGACGAGGAGCACGACGCCGCGGCCGCCGCCGCCGCCGCCGCCGCTGTCGCCGTCCACGAGGCCGCCGGCGGTGGCACCGGGTCCAGGGGCGGCGCTGACCAGATCATCGTCCGCACCCCCCCGATCTCCCCCATTATCACGGTCGGCGGGGGCCTCGGCGGTGCCGGCGCTGGCCTCTGCGCCGGCGGTTTCATCGTCTCGCCTGCAAGAATCAACAAGAGGAAAGGGACGGCAAGGGAAGGAGAGAAGAGAACAGAATCGTGATTAATCCAGATTATTAGAAGAGGAATAAACGCTGAGAATTGTTGCCACTTACACGAGGAGGCGGCTGCCGCCCCTGTGGCTGCGCCTGTCGCTACCGCCGCGCCCGTCGAGGTTGCCCCGTTCCCGCCCCCTGTGCTCCCCGCTCCGCTGCTCAAACTCGTCGTGCTACTCGTAGACGCGACCGCCACCGTCTGGCCGTAATTCACGGCGCTGCTGATCACACCGTTCAACAGCCTCTGGGTGGCGAACCCCTGTATGCCGTTGTTCTGCGACCAGAATTGATGGTGGGCCAAGAGGTGCGGGGGCACCGAGGGCACTCGCGGTCTCAGGCTCGCCGTCTGCTGCTGCTGCTGCTGTTGCTGTTGCTGTTGGGCAACGTGAGTCGTGCTCGCGCCGGGGCTCATACTCTGGCCGGGGCTGTATTGGGAGGACGGGCTGCTCCGGTGACTAGGTTGACTGGAGGTCTCGGAACGGCCTCCACCCCCGCCACCCCCGCCGTCGAAAACGGAGTTGTCGGACTCCTCCTTGGTCTGGGCCGAGGACAAGTCGGCCTTCTCGGGGCTGTCGCTCCTCGAGCTCGGCTGCTCCTGGGCCATGGGGGTCGTGGACACCGCCTGCATGGGCGAATACGGCGACAGCCTGGTGGGCACGGTCGGCGTAGCGGAACGTTGTTGTTGTTGTTGTTGGTGCTGTTGATGGTGGTGTTGCTGTTGCTGTTCCTCGACCACCCTGGCGTAGCCGACTATGGAACCGGCGTCCGGGAAGACCGAGTCGGGCGAGGCGCGGTCCGAGCAGGGTGTATCCCGGGGATGTTCCAAGCCGACGCTCGCCGTCCCGCGGAGAGGATCACGCGGCGTACCGGGGCTCGGTATGCCAAGCAGGTACTCGCTCTTCACTTTGACCACGGGGCAGCCCGGCGAGCCCGGCATGTTAGCCTCCGGCGACAGGGTCGAGGTGTCGGCCATGCTCTCCCCTGGAGCAGGAAAGTTTATGGGTGAAGGAGCGTCCGCCGGCTGGATCCCGAGCGGCGAGCCTGCTGATCCAAGGGATACCGGGGAGTCTGAGAAATAAGGCGTTGGTCTCACGTTTATACTCGATGGAACAATTGGGCGACGCGTTTTCCCTAGAACCTCGGGTTTAGGCCGCGGTGGATGCGCGAGGCGCGCCTCTCTCTCTCTCTCTCTCTCGCTCGCTCGCTCGCTCGCTCGCTCTATCGCTCTCGCTCTCTCTTTCTCTCTCTAATAGCGATCGCGATGTCGGATCGACGTCAATTTTATAATCGATGAAATTCGAATCGAGGCAAAAATGGAACTTGTATTCTAATTTATAATTCTAGGTTATAGTCGGCGTTCTTTGATATTTCGATGTATCTCGACGGTTAATTCTTCGATGAAAATCGAGGATCGAACGAGAATCGAAGCAAAAGTGTAAATGGTTCTCATTGTCACGTTTTCTACTTTAAGGCGCGTTGTTTTCGAATTAATGATTGTGGCTCCATCTATCGATCGATTCGATTATGGATTATATCGATATTTTTCGATATTTCTAAGTGTCTCGATGGTTAATTCTTCGATAAAAATCGAGGGTTGAACGAGAATCGAAGCAAAAATGGTTCTCACTGTCACGTTTTCTATTTTAAGTCGCGTTGTTTTCGAATTAAAGATCATTGCGATCTCATCCACCGATCGATTCGATTATGGATTATATCGATATTTCTCGATATTTCGACGTGTCTCGACGGTTAATTCTTCGATGAAAATTGAGAATCGAACGAGAATCGGAGCAAAAGTGTAAATGGTTCTCATTGTCACGTTTTCTATTCTAAGGCGCGTTGTTTTCGAATTAAAGATCGTTATGGCTCCATCCACGATCGATTCGATTATGGCGGATTATAGTCGATATTTTTCGATATTTCTAAGTGTCTCGACGGTTAATTCTTCGATGAAATTCGAGGGTTGAACGAGAATCGAAGCAAAAACGTAAATGAAATTTCTATTCTAAAGCGCGTTGTTTTCGAATTAAAGATCGGTATGGCTCCATCCACCGATTGATTCGATTATGGCGGATTATAGTCGATATTTTTCGATATTTCTAAGTGTCTCGACGGTTAATTCTTCGATGAAATTCAAACGAGAATCGAGGCAAAAATGGAACTTCTATTCTAAGGCGCGTTGTTTTCGAATTAAAGATCGGTATGGCTCCATCCACCGATCGATTCGATTATGGCGGATTATTGTCGATATTTTTCGATATTTCAAAGTGTCTCGACGGTTAATTCTTCGATGAAATTCAAACGAGAATCGAGGCAAAAATGGAACTTCTATTCTAAGTCGCGTTGTTTTCGAATTAATGATCGTTGTGGCTCCATCTACCGATCGATTCGATTATAATCGATATTTCTCGATATTTCGACGTGTCTCGACGATTAATTTCTCGATGAAAATCGAGGGTCGAACAGAATCGAGGCAAAACTGTATTTCTATTCTATTCTAAGGCGCGTTGTTTTCGAATTAAAGATCGTTATGGCTCCATCCACCGATCGATTCGATTATGACGGATTATAGTCGATATTTCTCGACATTTCTACGTGTCCCGGTTAATTGGCCGAAAATATGGAAATATTATTAATCATCGCGAAGGCGGAATGATTAATGACACTCGATCCCCGACCAAAAACAGCGTCTCTCGAAGAGGATTTCTTCGGAGAGATCGATCGAGTGAATCCTCTTTGGAAGGGGAAAAGGTTTGCGCTCCTCTCTTCCTCTTCTTCTTCTTATTGGAAAAAGAAGGAGGAGACATTTTCCAAGAACACTCGCGTGGAAAAGGATATATGGGGGACATTACGATCGCGTGTAGGTCAAGGAAGGAATGCAGTTGACAAGGCCGAGTCGCGATTGTAGCCACCCTCCAACCTACCAGTTTCCAATCTCTATTAATAGCGCGAATATTAATCCTTTTCCTCTCCTACTCAAAATATACAAAATACCTTTCTCTTCCCCTCCCTTCGATTAATTCACTCCTTTTCCACGTCCAACCAATGTTTCGACAAATCCTCCTTCATCAACGAAAAACCACCCGATATTACAACCATTTTTACAATTTCACTTCATCTCACACAGAGATGAAAACAGGAAAGAAAAGAACGTCGTTCGAAATCGAGTTTACCGAGTATCCAATCGTAGCAGCAGCGTGGATGGTCGAGCAATGCGTACGGCGGCATCGTCAGCTGGAACTCGACGTAATTCCTGTAGGGTTGCGCAGCGAGGCCGCTGCACGGACGGCAGAGGAATGGTATCCTCGGGGGGCTCCAACCCCCGACGCGGTGGAGATCGGGCGCGAGGAACGCCTCGTTTCTCAACGCAGAGTTCATCGTCCCGTCCGTAATCCTCTTCGCCGTGTTATCCAGCGACAAGTTGGATAAGTTGGCGAGTAGCTCGATTCTCTTCGTCCTCGACCGATTCCCACCATTTCTCCGGAAAAGAGTTGGAAGATTAGCTTCGTCCTCGAGTCATTTCCACTTTCCTCGTGGACGAACAGGTTCCAAACGAAGGATTCTTCGGAGACGAGTCACTCGAGGAGGGACGATGCTCAACTCGGTTCGAGAATCAACCGATTATCGATTGAGCGGCGATGACGTTAAAACGGATCGAATGAGACCGAGTTCGATGCTTTTCCGTGCGCACGCACACACACACACACATACACAGGTACACACCACCGTCGCCTAATTGCGTTCGTATGACGTTGCGCGCGGAAAGATCAATGATTCTCCTCGATCTTTGTGATGGAACACGCGTGGAGAAAACTGCAGTCGTTCAGCTCGTCTCATCGACGGAGAAACGGTAATTAAAATGGATCTCGAATTGGAGAATCGTCTTCGCCACCATTTTGAAATACCATTTTTGGAATCTCGAAATTCTTGATCTCTTCTCTACTCCCAGGAAGGAACTCGAAGCTTGTCACTTGAAATAAGACAAAGTCGATTCCAATTCCAAAATTCCGAGAAGCATCCCCCGTAATCCGAGTCCACACCGATTCGTATTTCCCGCCAACAACGGTGCCCGACCTTCAACCTAGCTGGCTATCGTTCACGCGTTCAATCTTGGAAAAAGGAGGAAGAAGGAATAATCGATGCAGCTCGAGTCTCTTTCCACGAAGCGGAAAAAATTCGTTTCACGTCGCGATCGAATAATTTTTAGACGGACCGTTCGCGTGCTTGCGCGAGTTCAGACGAAGCCGAACTAGCGGCGGTGCACGTATGACGGGAGACCGCGTGGGTTGACGTTCAACCCTGCTGCACACCGCCGCCATCAACCACCCCCCCCTTCTCCCGCCCCACGCTCACCTTTCCCCTTCGTTCGGGCCACCCCACGCGCGAACCAATCCTTCCTCGAGAGCCGATCGAGCTCGAGACGCGATAACGACGATTCCGTGGAGAGGCGCGCGTCACCAAGGTGGTGGGATCCAAACCGTGGGGTCGAGAACGAGAACGAGTCGAGGGCTTGGAACAACGGCGTTGGTGTCGTTCTCTCGCGTAGGCGAACGAGAATAAAGGGTGAATAAGTTTAAACTCTCTCTAATTTCTACTCTTTCTTCAAACGAATTATTACTCTTCGAACGTTCCTTTTTTTGGACGATCGAGGACGAGAATCGAAATTTTTAAGACGCTGTCTTTCGTTGGATCGAGAGAGAGAGAGAGAGAGACTCGTAAGTAAGTATTCCGAGTAAATTTTTACAACTATTTAATTCGTAAGGATTTAAAAAGTGTTACAATGTATTCGAGAAATATTTTAAATTATTTTAAAAGTTGGTCGAGATAGACTCTATAGAGGATTTTACGAACAATGTTCGTAAGGAGGATTAAGTGGAAGAAAAATGGGATAGGGAATTTTTAAGAATTGCTCGAAGAGTTGCGCAGTTTCTTCACGAATGTACGTACACGAAAATGTTAGTCAATTTCGTTGACACAATTACTCGAATAAACTTGTGTCTATTTTGCTGCGAGACCACCAGGCCAACGTTGGAGGCGGTCCAGAAAATTTTATTTCGACGCGGATTTTGTCCGTCCGATTTTCGTAATAGATTCTAAAACTTGGTCTTCCCTATACAATGATACGGTTACCGACTCGTATATATATATATCTATACACGCACCGAACGAACGAACGATGGATGTTGCACAGGCGGGTTTGTACTTGGGTCAGTGAAAATCGGGGCAATAATGATTAATAACATGAAACACGGCGTTATGGGCGGCAACTAATCATTAAAACAGTCGCTCACCGCTCGTTCCTGGGGAGAATTTCCCGACGAGAAAAGATTCGCTTCGAGCTCGACGATACACGATCCCCTCCTTTCGAAGTATCCACTCTCGTCGTATACAGCTTTCGTGAAACGAATTATTTCTTTCTTTCTTTGGACGAGTCAAGGACCTCGTCGACGAAATTTTTGAGACGCGCTCAATGTTTCGTTTTGGACGAGAGAGAGAGAGAGAGAGACGGGGAGAGAGAGAGAGAGAGACGGGGAGAGAGAGAGAGAGAGACGGGGAGAGAGAGAGAGAGA